ATTGCGATATTTTTTTCACACATTTAAACCTATCATAACAACCAATTAAACACTTCTATTCCGAATGGGACATCGAATTTTGGTTTTCATATTCCCGGCAGGACTACACGCCGGCGACAGATGTTAAAGACAAATATCAAGGAGTGAATTCAAAATAATTTTATTCTGATTTTTATCTTTCGTATTAGTTTTGATTTTCCTTTATCAACTTTATCACCAAATTTTATGCGATCAATTTTATCATTACCAACACTGGTAATATATTTATGAAACGATAGTTGACTTTTTTTAAATCGTATTAACGTATTAACACGACTTTCGTATTAAATAAAAATTCCGGGTTGCTAATTTATTAATCAACTACAAGCGTATTCTCTCGTTTGATTATACTTTCGCTTGCCTCGCGACGAAGACTTGTTATTCACCGTTCTTTACAATATCCGACTTTACTACTTAGTTAGCATTTTATAATAATTATTGATGCCGACTTATTGACGATATTCCGATTTCCATGCTTCATTTTACATTAAATCATTTCGCGGCCTAAATGTTATACCATTATTTGCGATAAATTTAGATCAAATATTAATTATTTGCGCGTAATTTAAAATACCGTACCTATATGACATGCCTTCTCCGAAAATACAAAGTTATATCGGAAAACAATGCATTTTGTGACATTTATTTTGCACTCATGAAAATATTAATTTATTTTTCTAACTCAAGTCGACAATCCTATTTGCCAAGATTGACACAAGTTTGGTCGAGTGCCGGTGGTATTCGAGTCGACGATAAATCAAGATAAGTTGCCGCATTTGGTGAAGACAGGTAATCATATTTGGCCGACATATTGCGAGGCATTGTGAAAAACATATTGAGCAATGCCAAGTCCGGACAGATATATAACGATAAAATCGGTAACAGAACATCAAGATTTTGTAATAGAAAATGGATCTGGCGCAGAATAAACACGGGAAATCGCGTCGTATTGTTGTCTCAATCGCTTTATCGATGCCGAAAAGACCAAGTTGTGTTGGTTCATTACGCAATTTCTCTTCCGTCTTTATATTGCTGTTTGGTAAGCGCGACATTAATTATCACGGCATTTACAAATAGACCATGTTTTATAAGTTGATCTCTTACATTCTTTAGTCATTTCACCCGAAGAAGTTGAAACCAGGTGTGTTGGCGTCCATCGGTCTCAACACAATTCTATCCCTTATCTACGGTTAATATGTACATTGGCCATGCTAGATAATTTGATAATAGGTTAGTAAATGACGCGGTATGCCTTCCCCATCTGCGTAACAAGAGAGAGAAAAACGGCTACGAATACCGGAACTCTAACTTCTTCTACTTAAACTTTTAATTTTTTACAGTCGACGGAATTGACTGCTTTGAAGTAAGCTCGTTTCAATCGCGAAAGCGCTCGACCAATAATTACGACTTCACGTAATTCGTAACTTCGCTTCCGTAACTCGAAATAATTCCGTAAATCCGTAAATCCGTAAATTACGTACATGCCTATGAACTGATATCAAACGAATATTTAGAATTACCTTTTTGTTCGTTCGCCATTTTGTTTATCAGTTTCGTTACAATTTTTCGTGTGTTCAACCCGCCGGCGCGCGAGCATGTTCCGTGACTTACTTAAATTAAAATGTTGTAGCTGAACAGGGTTCAATATCATGTATCGTGCAGAGACAAAAATATAAGAGATGAGAATAGTAATATACAATGATTTAAAACTAATGGTTCGCTAAAGAGGTGTTATTGCAAAGAACAACGGTTTGTGGTCTGTATTGCGGTTGGCAAAAACATTCGGTCAAATATTTGAGTTCTAAATCAGAGCTTGACATTTTGTTCAGAAGCAATATTGAATTGATTGGTATCAAGGTCGGCAGAATCAAATTTTCGAGATCCTCTTTCAGTGACGTGTCTACGTAAAATGGAGCCAATGGCGAAGTTTAAAAATGCGTCCCCTTGATCGCTGACTGACACTATTTACCGACTGTAATTGAATTGAAACACTTTTACAATATTATTGAATTAAAAATACAAGCTTCAATGATTCACAATTTGAAAATATTTTTTTGAAACATTTTACTTTTTGCCATTTTGCGCCCCAATCCATACGCGCCCATGGCACGAGTCATGGCTGTCACGCCCTGGATACGCAACTGTCAGGAGTACAACTTCAATAAACACAATCTATTTTAAACTTACACCAAAATATGTGTAGAAATTGCGTATTATGTCGTTTTATATAAGTGTCATCATGTCCGAGTTCTCGAAAATATTTCAGTAAATTAAATTGACTTAACTCGCAGGCAATGCTGAACCAGACCTCAATAAATATGCGCTTTTTATTGAAGCTTCAGTGGAACTTTTCTTCTAGTAAAGATGCAAAAACCAATCATAAAAATAATTTTACCACAAATAAAGTAAACAAAGTCTTTGTAAATGGCGACCAATGTCCACTGTTAAAATGTGTTGAACTGATTGCATCATAGTTCATTTAAATAAACAATACAAAATATAAATACACTATATAAATTTGAAAAGCGTTTCAACTTTAAAATTAAAGTTGAAGATAATTAAGCAGGTTTTACTGTCAAAATATAATAAACAGCAGCCAATTGAAGATTTTTCACTGTTTCCTAATGTTTTCTACCATGGACCTGTATATTTGGAAAAAATGGAGTAACATTATTGGCTTCTCGTCGTCTAAATCCATCTCTGATAGGATAACACTAGTCGGAATTATAAATTCTATTGACTTGGTTTTCAGTAACATGTAGGTCACATATACTACCGTTTCAGTGCGCGAGAGTAAACTTTTCATTCTGATGAAAAACTAAAACTTCACAATACCTTGGCCGCAAGATGGCGCTATCTTGAAGTCATGATACGAACCGAAAATAGTGAAATTTTCAAGAATAATGTTTTCACAAACAAATATATTTTCAAGAAGCAATTATTATGAAATTGCATTCGTTTTTATGGGTTGAACACACATCTCACTATTTTGGCGACGTATTCGATAACTTATTGGAATAATCGTTTACTTACGTAGCAGATTTGACGCGATTGATGTGTTGTATAAGTAAATGGGTTTTAAGATTGGGTTTGTTGTAAAAATAATTTAATAAAATCCTAGGTATATATGTTTAAAACATATCGTAATTAAATTTTGTGTCTCTGAACACTTCGACAATATTTCTTCTCGTTTTCAAATTAATGCACATCTCTCTTCTTTATAGGCACATTTGATAAATAATTAAATCATGCCAGAATGGTCTGAAAAAACTCATTTAATCAAATTGAATTTGTTGTAAGCATTTTTTGAGTAAATTTTCCTCTTAGCCTGATTAATTTAGCTCATTGAGGATGAAAACAATGGTGTAAAAACACGAACAAGTCAATAAACCTCCGTTCACATTTACATGAGATTCACGACTCGAAATCTTTTTTGTTTCATATTTTGTTGTTGTGCAGCTGAGACAAAAACTGTAGTCACGTATGAATATGACTATTTGAATTAAAATCAATACTCGTACTCGACGTGTAAAACTGGTCAAGTAGGCTTTACTGTCTTTCTCTCGATGGTGATGTAAAATAATTGAAAACTCTAATCAAGCTTCAGTATATTCCATGGCCTTCTTGGCACCTTAACAATTAACGGGCATCAGAATAAACATGATCTAAATAGGTGAACCATTTTGTTTGTCCGCCATTTTGTTTGACAGTTTGCTTCACGTTCAAACATTTTTTGGAAATTTTTTCCGCATCAACAGGTATTCGTCCTATAGTTTCTGTGAATTTCTCACGACTTCAAGTGTTGTGGGTAATTAATATTTAATAGTGTGTTTTGTGCAAAAACGGAAAGTCAATTTTAGGTTTAAAACAGTCTTTATATGTATCTTCATGTACAACGTTTTAGTAATATTATAATTCAGGTGCGAGAAAAGACAAACATAAGAAAAATAACGAAATACATTTTGACTCTGCCTTTTCAAATTGAATCGATTTGTAAGATTCAATTTGTAAGATGGCTGCATATATATATATGAGTTGGCGGTATATGCATATTGCTGGCAGTATATGTATGGCACGTTACCAACCCGATCGCGATTCTCTGCGGATACCTGGAATCGATTTCAAATAAATTTCGCTCGTCCAGGACTTATGTTTTTGGGTTCTGGTATTTGTATATACCTGGAGGTCCACCATTTGTTTTCAAATTTTTCAGCCACGCAGCCACGGGAATAACTAACTTATCTTTTTTTCCGTTTGTTATTCAATCAACTGCTGTTACCATGGCTACTCTGACCAGTGGTGTCTGGAGTCGCTTTCTTTCATTAATTAGAGTGACACCGGGATATCGACGCTCGAATGTGTCTCAAAGGCTGGCTTACTTCATTATTATTTCATTTCTTATTCAGACTTTTGCTAGCATCTTGTTTGCTTTTTTCCTCTGTGTGATTTAATTTTAGACTCACTCCTTTAAGGGTGACGCTGCTAGATATCCTTCATTGGTTTATCGCGTCTCCTTTCACACTAAAACGTATTTTTTTTTATATATTTTTCGTAATTATGTTTGTCCATCGTGTACTTTTGGTATGGGATAAAATAAACTACTGACTGACTGACTGACATCTGTCTATTAGAATGTATAATAATTCCTCCCAAGAGAATGCAATAACAAAAACAGGTTCTGTTTTCTTCGCAAAGTGAGTGCGAATCTTTAGCCTTGTGAGTATTTGAAAACCTATCCATCACCTTGTCTAACTTCTGACAGCATCGTGAGACTGTATGTGATACAGGAGGCAGTAAAAGAGGTTAGTGTTTCCGGTTGTAGCATCATATTTCTTACTGCTATACAAGCATAAAGGCATTCATATCTCAGATACCAAAAAAATACAAATTGATCATAGAGCATAAATAAAAAATTTATTTGGATTGTCCTCACTTTACTTTTAAACAATCTGCGTAACAGGCACGATTGGCTTGCTGAACAAGATATCTTGGGAATTTGGACTTAAATGTCGAAGCAATTTCTTTACGCATGTGTCGTGGTATCATCTATTCTACTTGTTTCAGTGTCGGCCTTTGGTAAGATGATATTTTAAAAATATTTGAAACTTACAAATATGTTATGTTCATGAAATATTGATATTTTAACGCCGGTTCATAAGCTATGGTAATTAATTGTATGGTATAAAAATATTGAAGCTCAAAAATTAAATTTATATGTGCTTTGAAGCCCACAAAATGATATGGTAATAAACAGAAAGCTCTGAAAGAACTCATCTTAAATATTACTAGTCTTTTAACATGTTAGTTGACAGTAAAAAACTCAAATAATTCGGAGAAAGACTATTAGCTACAAATGCTAACAAACGTGATGATAATATTCTATGCAAGTGATATCGTATTTTTGTCCATTATGACGAAAGAAAACTGTTTTATTACTTAGTTGTTTTAAGTATACGTTATTCTAATATAGAATGAATTTTTATTGATATTTCGACTTCACAAATTAATTATATTGTTTCAAGATCCTAATCAATACGTGAACGAGACCGTAGAGTTTTCCATCGTATACGTGGAACAGAAATATTCAATGGATGCTATATCATACATCAGCTATCGGATTGGATCATTGAGCCCGTCACAAAAACTACCAGTCATCGACTTAGTCAAGTACGTCTTCTACACCTCCATTTCTCCCAAAGTAAAGATTGTTTCTTTTAACATGCTTCATAACCTAAAACCAGATGCCCATTCAATTCCGGACGCAAGATTCTGGTTAGCAGATCAAATATCTGAGATTGATCCGTCTGATCGACCCAAATGGCAAGCATTTGTAAATGAACTATCAGAGTTGGATCAATTACATTAATTCAGTTCAATTACAATTGTAATTACAATTACTCACTTGAATATTTCAATTACACTATTATAGGCTTGTAATGAAGTCAAATCCAGAAGCATGTTTCCTAAACATTTTATTCTTTGTATTCTTTGTCAATATATACGTTCATGAAACTGATTATAAATTTGCTATCATTTTGTTGGCGACTAAAATATGTAGCATCAAATTGCGTTTAAAATCGATACATCTCGCTCTTATTTTATTTAGTTCACACAGTTTGCAAATGAAATCCGTATTTGCAGTTCAAGTTGTAGAAAATCTTTTGATATAATATCTCACATCTCGCCTTGGTTATGATATACATCAGGGTGGTCCAAACTGCAGCCCGCGGGCCTGCTAAACTAAACTCCGCAGAGCTGACTTAGCGCCACGCGATCCAGTTTTTTTCTAACTGGGTCCGAGGTCGCAAATTTGACGGACTTGGTTGTTTTTTGACGATAGCATCAGGCCTGCTCACGATATTTCTGCTGTTTTAAAATAGCTAAATACTCTATATAGTTTCCTTTAAAAACTAATTAGAACAATAAACTCTCATTCTTAAATATATTTGAAGTGCGTAAGATGTGTTTTGATCACTTTGGGGTTTTCTCCGACTGCGGCCCGGGAGACCTCCTTAAAAGTTTTTGCGGCCTTTCAACCTCGCAACCTTGGACCACCCTGAATTGTACATGATCGCCTAAATCAGCTATTTTCAACCGAGTTCCCGCAACACTTTATCTTTCCGACAGTATAGTACAGAGATACGTAAGATAACATTTAAATCCGAAAGTCTATATTATTATGTGTACATTGTTTAAATACAATCAAATACCCATTATTGAGCTTGCTACACTTTAAAGATCATTTAGTGTTTGTCAGTATTACGTTTGTTTTCATATTTATAGTCTCTATACAATTCTGATTATAGTTTAAATTTATTGCATAGGGGTTCCTAGACCCGCTGGAATGTTTCATTTTGATTTCTATCTACGAGAAAGGTTAAAACCAATGGGTTACATAAAAATTCGAAAGATCTGCTCATATTGACATATATTCATTGCTTTTTAAGATATTTGAGATCCGACTTGTCGAGTTTAAATTGAGTTTTAAATTTTAAGAAAACATGCTTCTTATTTCGATGACTGCTTGCATTGTATTGCTTGTTATTCTGCTTTGAAAAATTTGATTGAAAAAAGATTAATTTGTAACCAAATGTGAAATCGCGCATTATCAAAATATCTTTTCCAACTTTTTTATAGCTCATTTTACTTCGGTATTACTGTGAAGTACTTTATTGTGCAGGCCTATTCTTGTATTTCAAAACTGAATGAAAGAATGAAAATAACAATGAAAAATATGTTGGAATAGAGTTATTTTGTTAGTGCTTAAAAACGTTTTTTGTCTGATTATATCACGGAAATATATATACGGTTTATGCAGCTATAATTTTTTTTTTTCTAGCTAGATGTAGTTTTAATCAGGTTTTTATTAAGTTAAACTTATCATCGATAGTGTTATCTTGAGTCCAGTATGTCCGTGTCATAAAACTACCTTATTAAGTCTTGGTCAGGCTCATTCTGACGATATATTAGATAAACTTAAGATGGCGATGAAAAGTTTTGTCTACGCGTAAGTATTGAACCAATTGCCGATATCATTAGGTTACCCTCATGGTGATTCATTTGGTAGTTCTGACTTTCTTTAACGGATTGTTTTTAAACCTAAGCTGTGAACAAGGCTTTGTACAAGAGGAATCGATGCGTTGATAAATATTTTGTTCTTTAAATGATTAAACCGCTTTTGGTTTTTTTTAAGGGACCGGTATCTTTTCGATTTTTATCGACCCAAACTTAAATATAAATCGACCTAAACTAAATATAATGAATATGCCATTCCGCGCGTTTTAGATTAGTTTATCCAATATAACACTTGTTGAACAATAAACATTCAACAAAAACTTATAATCGTATCGTGATGTCAATCAAATTGTTTTGCGCAAATGAGTTTTGAAGCGGTGAATAACAGATTATGTCAGTGATTACACACTTACATCTCAATATATGACTTCAACCGGGAAGAAACAATGTTAAAAAAACAGTAAATACTACGCTATTTCCATTTAATTTTTTGCCTCGACCATTTCATTTAAAACCGGTTGTTTGTCGCACAAATTGGCATACTTTATTTTCTATGAAGTACAATTATGAAACGTCTATGACTGTACAAGCGAAAAAAACGAAAACTACGAACAAATCGAAAACTACGCGCACCGGTAGTTTTAGGTCTTATATTTTTCATTAAGCATTAATTTAATTTGTTTGTGGACAGTATATTGTCAAAGAATAATTTACTAAAGAGATATTTTCAACCAGCACATTATTGCATTATCACCGATCAGCTGTTAGGATATTAGGATATTATAAATTGGTAGCTATTGTACATTCATCACGAACTATGTGCACCAACAGTTTTATGTCTTAATGTGCGCAATCAACATGTAAAGCCTTACCCCTGAATGCTAATACCGTTTTGAACTTTAGCCGTTTGGGAGTTTTTTACGCTTTTTAAAGCATTATTTATATCAGGGGTTCCCAAGCTTTTTTCAGGACTACCTAAATATCACTCCGACCCAATTTGAGGTCGCGACCCCTGGTTTGGGAACCCCTGGTCTAACCCTAACCCAGTACACACACTACGGGGGTACCAATTTGAAATAGGCTGCAAACATGGAATTTCACAATTTTCAAATTACAACAACATATTTATCCGTTTAAGAGGGGCGAGTCTTCATTTATTGATATTCATTTCAATATATGCACTCTTCATCACACAATTTGAAATGTAGGGAACAAAATCTTACATCCATGTGTTATCCGCTATTGAATAAGTCATATTTCGTCAAATTCGACGGAGCTCCCCAAGTGTGTGAAATAAGGAAAATCGGAATAAAATTATGGTCTAACCCTAACCTTGTACACACACTACAGAGATACCAATTTGAAATAGGTGGCAAACATGAAATTTCACAATTTTCATACTACAACAACATGTATTTCCGATTAAGTTGGAATAAATTTTGTTATTGAAAAATACAATAGTACATGTGTGGTACATCAAACAATTAACGTTGTTCGGAGCTAAATTTTGCATTAATTCGCAATCCGTAACTGGAAACTAGTCAAAACTAGCCCAACTTGGTCAAAATCGACACCGGCAAAAGAACGTGGAATTTCGCAATTCTCCAACTACAACAGGATGTCTAATCGATTGAGTGGGGCGAGATTTTATTCATTAAAACTATTTTAGTATAAACACTCTGCATCCCACAATTTGAGTTGATAAGTAAAAATGTTGGCATTCATGTGTAATCCGTTACCAAAAATTCCCATTTGGTTAAAATCAAAATATGCGAAAGACATGAAATTTCATAGATTTCACATTATTGTTGCATGAATCTGATCAACTTGTGCCACTTGGTTGTTGCCAAATTCGGGTCTCAGAATCGACCACTTGCAAATTCGGACAAAAAAATTTCCCCAAAATCAAGAATCTGATATTCAAACAATTCTTTATATGAATAAAGCTCATTCGGTTCACCAATTTGATTCATTCTACTTGTGCTGACTGACCGTCTCATCTTTGGTTTACGGTTTCTAAATTTATAAAACGCCTCTAAAAATGTTGAAATTGGTGTGGCATTGCTCGTTTAAAGATGCTACAACAGGCACTAAATATTACACGCTGTGAATTGCGCGTGCGATGTATCTCTCTATTGATTCCTAAACTATACCTATACTGAGAAAATCAATGTCAAAGAGGTCGTCTACAGAAATTTCCGTGGTTGCCCCCTTGGTGCTTCGAGCACGTCCTAACAGCACTTCCCACTAACGAGCACGTCCTACTAACACGAACAGTTCAACCTTTGGAAGGAATACGTAATTTGATGATAACCCGACTTGATATGTCATTTCAATATTAATGCTTTCAAATCCGAACAAAGATAACAAAATCATTTTTTTATGAAAAAAAATATTTATTTCTCTTTACAAAAAGTACATATTACAAAATAATTACACAGTAGTCGACATTGCATATTTCAACAATAAAACTAATTTGTATGAAATATAATATTCCTATAAAATTTGTTTGATTAATATACCGAGCTTCCAAGTGGACCCATGAGGTGTCGGTTTACCCACTCGTTAGGACTTTAGTGCCAAATGAATACAACTATTTTGAGAATTTGATAAGCAGGAATTTGGCATTAAGAGCAGTATGGATTCTCGAAAAGTTTGATTGCCAACAAAAAGAGGCTTGTCAAACACGCTCTACAAATTTTGTTATATTTCAATTTGTACACGAAAAAACTATTGTGGGAGATATAACACACCGGCAAGGAATTGGTAACATACTTCACAATCAGTGATATAAATAAAACTACTAGCATATATTTTGGTGGGATTTGTCAGAAAAGTGATTATCAAATAAGAATCAAGACAAATTTTAGACATGGAAGTACAATGGCAAATGGGATAGCCAAATATGAATAGCATATTATAGAACAGGGATGGAGAACCACTGACCCGCGCTGACTCACTTTGTGACCATCCGCGTTTTATTCGTGACCCGCTAAGGCACGAACAAAATAAAAAACAGGCTAACATATCAGTGATAAAAATTGGTAAAACCGGCATCAAATTAATCTAACAATAACCAAACTATTATAATGTACCGTCAGTTGGGCAGTCAGGGCTGCGATATCTCATATTCAAATTGTTAATTGTCGGGCCAGTATGGTATGGTGGATATATTCGAGCCAGTATGGTGGCCAGTAATTTTCAAAACCCCTAATCTTGGATGCATGTCTGCATCGCTGTGTACCGTTATTCAGCTATTGGCTCTGACATCTTTTATGACAAAACAATGCAACCGATCTGTTCATGTCTCTTAACGTCTTGTCGCTTTCATAAGTGCGTCTGCAGACTGTTTTAGGGGTTACACGAGAACTAGATGCTACTTTGCATTTTATCAGTTTCTCGCCTACAATGCCGTTGAAAAAATAAAATCTTTCATACTTGAAATAAAAACCTAGAAATCTGAAATAACAATGGGGCAGTGCAAAAGTGCCTTAATGTGGTTGAAAGCTGATCGAAAAACAGGACACTATCAGAGTGGAATTCCCTCCGAACTCTTTGGAACCGTAAAATAATTTGCCGCATCATCCTAAACGTTTCTGGTAATTCATATGCGTTGTTT